ACAGTGAATTCTAATAACCTCAATGCTGCCAAGAGATGTGACTTATTCTGTAAGGGATGGTCTTGCTGGGAGACGGCAGGGTCAGCTTTAAATTGCATGTCTCAATTTTAAAAACATTTGAGACACAGTGTTATACTGTAATCTCTCTTTTTCATGTGTGCTTTACCTCTGGGCATGACTCACTTCCTGTCTGAGCTCTGGAAAGCTCCCAGAAATGTGAGCCAACTTTGAGTTCACTGTGAAATGTCCAATGGACTTGAATTGCTACATTTTGTTTCAATTAACCAAAACCCAAAGGGGCGAGAGTCCCTAGTAAAGTGGCACCACTTTGACTAAACAGTCTGCATCAAGCTGCGAAATAGTCACCAGTGTCACTGAACAGAAAAACAAGTGGGACTCTGGGGAATGGCTGCAATGGCTCATTTGGAAGGTTTGATGGATGTGCCCCCAACACCCATTGGGAAGAGATTTGCAGCAGTTAGCAAAATGTCATTAATCGCCAACACCAAGGTGACCAGTCAAAAATTCTACTATAACCTAGGTGTGATAAGAAAATGAACCTCTTCCACTGTTTCTCCACTGGAATTAGTGCATTTTTGCATTAAACCCTTCTCTTTCCCAGACCTAGCCAAACTATCTTACAAGGAGGAGTTGGCCTTTTGTATGTACACACACACTGTGAGGGTGGGGGCATGTAGGCACTACTGCAGTACTAATAATAATTAGGCGTGTATGTGCTTACAAATTAAGAAGGTAGTGCACAGAAAGAAGAAAATGAAGTGCTTAGTCCTGTTAAAATATCTTTTTAAGGCAGGGGTCTCAAACTCAAAGGGCCACATGAGGACTAGTGAATTGAACCGAGGGCCGCATCACTGACACCCACACTCTCTGCCTTTGGCCCGCACCCACGCCACCCTTTCCATTAGGCCCTGCCCCTGCCCCACCTCTTCCCACCCCTTCCCTGCCCCATTCCAACCCCTTCCCCGAAGTCCCCACCTCAATGCTGCCCCCAGGGGGTGCAGAAAGGGTGCAGGGTGCGGTGGGGGCTCAGGGCAGGGGGTTGAGGTGCAGGAGGGGTGTGGGATGTGGCAGGGGGCTCAGGGCAGGGAATTGGGGTGCAGGGTGCAAGCTCCAGTCCGGTGCCGCTTACCTAGAGCGGCTCCCTGTCCGCCTGCCCTGGCCCCCGGCCCCATCTCGCTCCGTTCCAGGAAGCAGCTGGAACCGTGTCCCTGCAGCTCCTGGAGGGGGCTCAGGGTTCTGTGCATGCACTGCTCTTGCTGCTCCTCTAGGTACCTCCCACGAAGCTCCCATTGGCCGTGGTTCCCTGTTCCCGGCCAATGGGCGCTGCAGGGGGTGGTGCCTGGAAGGCGGCAATGCAGGAGCCCTCTGCCTCCTTTCCCCTACCACCCTCCCCTCCACCGGCCCAAAGGGGCGTGCTGCCAGCCGCTTCAGATAGCGGGCTGGGGCTCACAACGCCACAGGGGGCAATCCCACGGTTAGGCGGGGGGGCCGCGGGGAGCTTGGCATGCCAGGCCGCGTGTTTGAGACCCTTATTTTAAGGGCTGCTAATATATCAACTTCTTGGTTTACAGGGGACGAACAACAGAATGGTACAACAGAGTTTTTGGTCATATGTGTGCTGCAGAACTGATGAGGATAAAAGACTCCTTCAAACCTCTCAGGAATGACACAAAGGAAATGAAAATCTAAAGCACCTGGTTCTAAACAGAGACTGGTGCGGAGGCATGAACTGCTCCTCTGCTATCATTTTAAAAGCTATAGACTCAATAGACTTGCCTATATTTTAAAACTAATAAACCAAGAAGTAATTTGTAATGGCCTATAATGTAATGTAAAATAGTAATGTTATAAAGCTGCTTTTTTTCTTTTTCCAGTTTCAGGAAGCTGTTCTTGAACTGGCTGCACAGAGATAGCTAAAAGGTCAAATGTGTGTATGTATATATACGAAATTATAAAATGCAATTGTTACATCCAGGAAAGACAAAATATGCTGGTTCAAAATTATAGTTATAAAGTAAGTTATTAAACTAAAAATATGGTATTTTTCCAAATACGCATTAAGTATTTTATAAGATGTAGACTTTTATGCATTCTAGAGTATTATGTCTCTTGAATTTTCTTTTTATTGAATAAGGTGGTGGAGATGTGAAGTTAATTTTAACCTCTTTACAGTTGAAAATAGGCCTGAAAACCTATGCCTTTTACTAGAGGGAGCTAAATACTTTAGCATGTGTTGTTAACTCTCTTGATACTTCCTTTTTACATAATAAAAAACCAAATCTGGTGGGGGTGGTTGTTTAATGTGATGGGTAGAGTTCCTGCATTTGAGAATATTGCCTACTTTTACCATGGTGAAGCTTTAGGAATACATTTCAATTGTTAAATAACGGTCATAAGTCAACCTAACCAAGCTAACTTCTAAGCAGAAATTATGTGAATGGACTATCAAAAACCAGGTTCTGCATTTAACCTGCAACTTATGTCACTTGAGCTCAATCGTAGGCATTGTGCTTGTCTTCTGAACTCCAGTCATGGTTAAACATTCCTTATGTACCTTTAATAAGCTGCTCATCCTGAAAACCAAAAAGTGTGTGTACACAGATAATTAAGGTGCTACTCCTAGGGGTAAATGTTTTATACAGCTGGTGGGGGGGGGGGGGAAGGGGGGAAGTGTTCTTGTAAAACTAACTTGTCCTTGATTTATGATGTCTTGGACCTCATTCATAGTTGCAGGTGTGATTTAGAGTTGCTTAGGTGTATGCCATGCAAAGTAGCAATGTTACATCCTTACACTCATGGTGGTGTGAATGTTATCAGTGTCTTACCAACAGCAAGTAGAAGTTCTGAACAGTGTATCACCAATAGATTTCTTAGTGCTACATAAGAGCTGGGATATCCGGACAGCGTAGTAGTCAATACCTCTGAGCTAGTGTGGTTGAACATAACTAGAGCGGTAAAGCACAGGTAGGAACTGAAGAGACAGTCAAATGAAAGAGAGTTCCACTTAATTACATCCCATAATGACTGACAGCTAAAACGTGACTGCTTGTATCAAAATGCTGTACGTGTAAATACTAAGATAAGTGTGGTATTGAATGAGTATAATGATATAATAGACATCACAGCACTGTGGTGGAAGGATGACAATCAATGGGACACAGTAAGAGGAAGGTACACAATATATAGGAACGAGAGATGAGGTAGTGCTGATGGAGCAGGGCCTACTGCTGGTACATGTGCAAGAAAGAATAAGGGCAAATACAATAAAAATCTTAAATGAATCAAATTGTAACAGACTTTCTCTGGCTAAAAATTCTATGCTTCACTAATAAAATATTCCTACTGCTATATTCTTACCTCGTACCTGTCCAAGATGGTGATTGTGAAATGGTTTGGGAGAAAGATTATAAAAATAGAAAACTGAGTAATAATGGAAGAGTTTAACTATCCCCAATTTGACTGGGTACAGGTCACCTCAGGCTGGGAAGCAAAGACAATAATTGGTGGTGTCAAAAAACTGCTTCATGGAGCAGCTAGTTCTGGAACCGAGAAGGGGAGAAGCAAATGTTGATTTAGTCCTAAATTGAGCATGTGTGGCAAAGAGGTGAATATTGCTGAAAGACTTGCTGATAGCAACCATAATATAAATTTAACAACAGGGGGGAGAGGGTAGGAGGGGACACACACAAGCCCACTGTAGTAGCATTTAATTTTAGAAAAGGGAATTCCATAAAAGGAAGCTAGTTCACTCTAAATTAAAAGGAACAGCCACAACAGTGAAATGTGTGCAAATGGTATGGAAATCTTTTAAATACACCATAATTGAGGTCCCAAATGAAAAAAACATAGTAAGAGGACCAACAAAGTAAATGTGGTAAAAGCAAAAAAAAAAACATTAAAAATTGGAAGTCAAATCCTGCTGAAGAGAACAGACAGGCGCATAAACTCGGGCAAGTCAAAAGAAGAAATTGAAGAACAAGACCCAAAGCAAAAATAAGTTTGAGAACAGCAGAATCAGGAAAGTTGGAGGACCAAGGTGTTAAATGAGCACTCAAGCAAGAGCAGGCTATTGTCAAGAAGCTAAGTGAATTCTTTGACTCTGCCTTTACTGCAGAGGATGTGAGCTACTGTATTAGTTTTAGGTGACAATGCAAACTGTCCCAGATTGAGGCGGCACTAGAGGAGGTTTATGGAACAAAGTGATAAATTAAACCGTAATCGGTCAGCAGAAGGCATTCAGCAAAGAGTGAATTGTGAAGGAACTCAAATAGGAAAGTGCTATGGGTAATATGTAACCTACTTCAATCAACTTCTGTACTAGCTGACTAGAGGCTAGCTACTATGACACCCATTTTTTTTTAAAGGCTGCAGTGGTGATCCAGGCAACTACAGGCTCATAAGACTAAGTTTAGTACCAGGCAAACTGAGTGAAATTATAGTAAAGAACAGAATTAGCAGACGCAAAGATAAACACAAGATGTTACAGAAGAGTCAACAGGGCTTTTGTAACAGGAAATCATACCTCCCCAATCTACTGAAATTCTTTGAAGGTAAGCCAGTTGATAAAATACTTGAGCAAGGTCCTTTACCAAAAAAATCCTAAGAGAGTCATGGGATAAGAGGGAAGGGCCCCTCATGGATCAGTAACAGGTTAAAACACAGAATCAAAGGTAGGAATAGATGGCTAATTTTCAGAAGGGAGCAAGGTAAAGAGTGGTGTGCCCCAGGGATCTGTCTGGGGACCATTCCAACATGAGCAATGAGGTGGCAGTGAAGCAGTACAAAGGTTCTTACTGATCTCCACAACAAAAATGGAAGATGAAATTCAAAGTAATGCACATTGGGAAACATAAGCCCATCTATACATACAACATTAGCTGTTACCACTCCAGAAAAAGACCTTGGATGGATTGGTCACTGTTTTCAATGTTAGGCATCACGAGGCAAGGAATAGATAATGCCACTATATCAATTTATGGCATGCCCACATCTTGAATACTGCATGCAGGGCTGGTCACCCCATTGCAAAGAAAGAGACAGGTACAGAGCAAGGCAACAAAAAGAATTAGGGGTATGGAACAGTTTCCTAGGAGGAGAGATTAAAAAGAGTGGGACTGTTCAGTATAGAAAACAGACAGCTACAAGGCACATAGGATAAAAATCTATGAAACCGTGAATGGTGTGGCAAAAGGGAAGTGTTCCTGCATATAACACAAAAAGTAGGTGGCCCTCAATGAAATTAATAGGCAGCAGGTTTAAAACAAAGAAAAGCAAGTTATTCGTCCCATGACTCAGCGTCAACCTATGGAACTTACGTTGTGATGGCCAAAACAATGCTAACAGGGTTCAAAGGAAGAACAAGCTACGTTCATGGAGAATAGGTCCATCAGTGGCATGTTCCCTAGCCTCTTTTTGCCACAAGCTGAGTGTTAGAGATGGATCACTCAATGCTTGCTTGTTCTATTCAGTCCCTCTGAAGCACTGGGCAGTGGCAGAAGACAGGCTGCTGGGGTCGATGGACCACTGGGCTGACGCAGTATAGCCATTCTTTGGCGAGAGAACAGGTTAGCAGACTTACCAGCACCCACAATAATGCTACTTTACCATTTTGCTCTTAAACCCCACTGAAAACTAGACGCTAGGCCCCATATGCTCATAGTAATGCTGCCAGATTAACTTTATTGCAGCACTGGAAATATAGGTGGTGACAAGTTTTCCTGAGCTGGCGATTTAAAATGTAAAAGCTCTGCTAACAAGTCACACAGCTAAACCTGGAGCCAGGCTTGGAGATAATTTTGCATTACTTTGGGTCTCAATCTACCTCCGGTACACTGCATCCTATTCTAAATGCTAATGCAGCTTTCTAAAAAATACTAAGCAACCCGGACATCTTAAGTACTTAAACATTTAGATGTAAGCACAAACAATGACAATGCATGTAAAAATATAGCAATATATGGTCAGGGATGCTATACTGAATTTTGTAACAGGTACAGCAAGTGATTTAAAAAAAAATTGCTCTGTAATATGTAAGCTTTACAAAGTCCAGTGTACCATGCTTACAATGAAAAGTGAGAGAGGTTTAGTATTGTGCAATAGCAGCTAATGATTTTAAATGCCCTGAGAGGAAACTTTTTGTTTGGCTGGATGTATGCTATGCTGCAGTATAAGCAGGTGCTTTATTTAATCTATTTCTAGTTTACAATAGTTAAAAAAAAACAACCCTTAGACATCAGTGGCACAGCTGCAGATGCAGAACATAGATGTGCCAACTGCTAGTAATTTATGGAGGCTTTGCCACATTCCTGTACCCTACATAAGTATTAGAAACAGTGTTTCAACTGTCTTCTTTCTAGGTGCTGATAAGTGAGAATAAGACAAGCGATAGGTGAAACTACTTAAGCTCCATAGTACTAGATACAAAACAGGCACCGCTTCAACTGAACTTAAAATAAGCTAAATCTCTGTCTCCCCTGTGGTTCTTTGTAGCTCATGATATTAAAAGTGTGATTTAATTGTAGTTGATAAAATAAGAATATTTGGTCAGGCCTTTTTTCTGTGAGAATAATATAAATAAAAACTAAATATTTCCCCTCATACTGTTTAAATATGAATATACAGTAAATGAAACAATGATTTCACGTACTATGGCTCTTTGTCTCCTGCACTCCTGGCGATCTGAGTATCACTGATCTAACTGGTGTGTCTACAACTGCATCTTTCAAAAGAATTAAGCTTAAGCTATTAAAAAACACTTAAATGAGGCTATGCAACAGTGTGCACAGGGCTGCCTCGGGTACTATAGCTTTGTATATTTTGAAAGTCTGGAATGTTAATATGCATAAGAATTTAACCACTTTCCTCAGATTTGTATTTACTCAGTTTTGTTCCTTTTCTGTAAATACTTTTGGTTGCAATACTCAGATTGTAATAGCTTGGACAAAGCACCTCTAATAAAGGTGCAGCCCTCAAACACTTGTCAGCTCTGTTCTCTCTCTTTGTCTCTCTTCCAGGTTACACTACTGATGCATTCTTGACCTTGTTTTTTGAGTACCTATTCAGCGTGCGATATATAAATTCAGGCATCTGTGTGTAAGAGTTTCATATCCTTTAAAGCGTCACACTGACAATATGCCACCCACATACAGGGCAGCATACACAAGTTCAATCCACACAATGTTAGCACTTTTTATTTTTAAAGTAGGTTTTGAATAAGACTCCTATGACAGCTAAGAAAACTAGTTTAGTAAAATACAAGAGGTCCAAGTGCAGAAGTAGTTACATCTTCTGGACTGGTTTGATGCCCAGGATGTCAAACCCTTTGGCCATGACGGCAGCTGTTGCTTCACACAGCAACATTCTCCACATGTTCACCTTCACTATCGTTCCTGAAGAAGAAAGAAAAATAGTGCAAGCTTGAATTAGATGGTCAGGAAGCTTCACAAATTAGACATTACAGTCACGGCATTTGTCCTGTTTCCATGATGTAGTGCGGTTAGAATTATGTGGCTTCCATTACACTAAAAGGGACTGGTAAAAATGCACTATTTAATACACCCAGGAGGTACAGCAAGTAGCATTTTTCACGAGAGATGATCACTAATGCTCACTTTCTTCTCTACTTGAGAAAGTTTTGTTACGTGTGCTAGCACTTGGAAAACTAAACTTATTCTGAGCACTTGTAGGTTGCTTTTACATATATGATGAATTTCTTTTTTAAATATAAATGGGAACTGTTGAGTCTTCTATAAAGCAGGGAAAGAGCAGTCAATGTGGGCCACAGACAGCACTCCTTCAAACACGGCAATAGCTCTATTTTTTGAATAGGCCAAGACATGCACTTGTTTATAAAAATCACTTGTCATAAAAACTAGATATTATTTACTATTAGCAGTAGCTCTGCAGAAACAACAACAAAAAGCTGCCTTGACATGCTTGTGCATTAGTTACCTTGGAACCAAGAATTAATGTAGTAGCAGCATCCTTAACACAAAATTAAGACTCCCCACTCCTGGATATTATTATGACCTTTCAGTTTGGAATCTGGTGCAAACCTGATCAATTGTATCATTAGAATTCTCCAATTACAACCTCACAGAGATGTGTTTGTTGCAAGCAAGTTTAAGGGATGCACTCACCAGTTTGTCTGTCTTTTTCCACACAGTAACAGTTATCGTAGAACTCTGTGAAGGTGGTGGCCAGTTCATAGAGGTAGTCACAGAGTGTGTGTAATAAGAGATCATCCAAAATCTTCTGCAGAATCTCAGGGAATCTCAGAATGCACTTGCCCAGTTTCCACTCCTTTTCGTGGTCCAGTAATATCTTTGTTTCTCTAGCTGCCTTCTGCAGCATCTCTTCATCAATGTTGGCCAGACGTGCTATAGATCTGACAAAAAAAAACCAGCCCAGCATTGGTTATGCTTATGTATGGAATTTTACAACAGGATTGAAGGGCCGAAAGCAAAGGGGTTCTGATTTGAATGATCTAGCTACGGAGTGGTAACTTAATCAGATATTAGAAAACGGCCTGAACTGCATAGAAAAATATTCAGTACATTGCAAAAACATAGGCAATTAATGCAGGAGGCATGCACTGGGTGGAGGCATTAGTGCATGGAAGCAGCAAGGGGCTAGACACACATTCAAGAGGAACAGTGGATGAGAAGCTTAAAGGTGACCAGGGACTGATGTGGGAAGAAGCCTGGGGGCTCAAGTATATGTGGAGGCAGTGGAAAAAAAGAGGGAAAGCAGTAACAGATGGGAGAGGGAAGCAGGGACAGGTACCCAAAAGAGGTGGTGGTGCCCAGTTCCCTTGTGAGAGTGGGCTATGTAATTATTAATAAACCTATACAAATATTCATTTGGGAGAGAGCTCTACCCTGTAATGTCACTC